CTGTAGAAGAAGATATGGTTTTAACAGGTAGGTTGTAGCCAGAATGTGGAGGACCTCAAAAGCTGGAGAAATGAGACAAGTTTCCTGTGGGTTTTGTCAATGACAAATATAAAAGCACGGAGATAGAAAATAAGCAAATGATACCCAAGGAAGATAAGCAGTTAGCATATTAACTTGTTTAGAGTAGACAGTCTTTTAGGGAAGCTGAGAGAATTAAATCTAAGGGAGAGAGAAGAAGACTGATGAAACACATGGAACAGAAGGCCAAAGAGATTAGCTTTGATTTGCTAGGTTTTTATTTTCTGCCTATACAAAACTTGCTAAGATATACCAAATAGGACACTCCCCCTACCTCCTATAACTGACTATCCACCTGTCCTGCCATCTGTTCACCCACATCATCCTTTCACGCACACGTATGCACACACATACATATATCTATATATAGAGATATATATTTATATATATATATATATATATATATATATGTACACACTTTTCATATGCGTCCACACACATATGTGCATTCTTGTATCTATGCATATTCTGGAGAAGAAAAAGGGTAACTCCTATACACTGGATGGAATATAAGCCAATATAACATAAAATTAAAATTTAATTTAAAAACAAAACTTTAAAACATTTCATATCCCTCATTTACACTTCAATGGACATGTAATGCCAAACAACTGCAGAAATACTCAGGTTTGGCTAGTCTAACCCACTGGAAGAATGTATTCCTGAGAAGTGATAGACTAGTAGAACGTTAGAACTTACAGGAACCTTCAATATCATTCTTGTCCAGCTCCCCTCATTCAGGACTAGGAACTGAAGCCTTGGGATGTGCCATGACTTGTCCAAGGTTCTGATCAGTTGCCAAACCTCCTTGATTCTACCCTCGCAACCTTTTGCCTAGTCTCTGTTCGGATTGCCACTTAGTCTCAAAACCTCACCATTTCTGCTGTGAAGGATTATAACAGCTTCCTACCTGTTCTCCCAGCTTTCAGTTCTCCCCTCCCCAATCATTCTTTCATGCAATTGCCAAAATCATTTTCCTAAAACACAGATCTCACTGTAGCATACCCTTGCCCAAGACTCTTCAGTAGCATCTTATTCCATCTAGTCTGACAAGGACTAATAAATTTCAACGTTGAGAATTTTTATAGAAGTCAGAAAAAGATGATGGTTCCTCTGTACTTTGCCCCAATCAGACCACATCTGGAATATTGGGTTTAGTTCTAGTTACCATAATTTAAGAAGATGTTGAAAAGCTGGAGATGTCCAGAGGAAGGCAACTGGGTTGGTGAAGGGCATTGAGTCCGTGTCATAGAAGAATTCATTGAAAAAACTGGGGATGTTTAGCCTGGAGAAAAGAAGATTGATAGGGAGGGGCATGATATCTGTGCTTTCAAGCATTTAAAAGATTGTCAAGAGGATTAAACTTGTTCTCTTTAGCACCTGAAGGAAGAATCAGGAGTAATAAGTAGAAGACGTAAAGAGGTAAATTTAGATTTGATGTAAGGAAAAAAGCACTAACAATTAAAACTTTATAAAGGTAGAATGGGCTGCCCTGGAAAGGGGTGATTCAAGTAAGGCTTTATGCCCATCCAGTAAGTCTGTTATAGTACTAGGGATTCTCAAGGGTACCTTCCAACTTAAAATAGTATGATTCTATAATTTAATCAGAGACTACTTAGCACTTTACACTTCACCTTCTTTAAATGATTAATAGCATGTCATATGCATCTACATCAAAATATAAAAATATCTGTCAGAATATATAAATATAAAAACATACACATACAATGTCAGAACATAGAAATATAGAATATATAAATAAATATATATGACCTATATAATGTCAGAATATCTAAATATAAACATATATGTCAGGATATAATATGTCAAAAATATGTCAGAAACAAGTCACAAAATTTGGCAGACCCAAATGATGCTATGATCAACATGTAAAATAACACTTTTATTGATTTCATGTTAATGAGGTCAGAGACAGAAAAAAGGAGCAGAAAAAGAGATAGGCCATCTACAGAAGACCACACAGAGGGCCAAAAAAGGTTAAGCTACTTGCCCAAGGTCATACAGATAGTAATCATCAGAAGTTTTGGATTTCTACATTTATAGTTTGTGCTTCTTTGAAAACTGTTCATGTCCCCTGATCACTTGTCTAATGGTGGAATGGTTCTTGATATTTGATATTTTGGCACTCTGCTAAACATTTATTTACACACCCCTGCCCATATCCCACAGAGAGCCAGTCAGGGTAAATTGGGGGCCCCTAATGCACCTCTACATTGCTCTGACAATAGGAACCATAACTGTGGGAACCAGCTCATAGAGCTACCAGCATGGCTTCATTCTGACTTAGAATCTGAATACAGGACATCATAGATCATTAAACTACCTTCTTCTCTTCCCATCCCCACAATGTGCTGAGGTGTGGATGGCTCCTCCTCAAATATCATTCCAGCACCTCCTTCAGTTGTCTTGTCTCTATCCTTGCTTACTCTCATTATAAAGTTACTAATATGCCTTCCTTCATCTCTGGGCAGAAGTTAGTTTCATAAAGGTATTCTTCCTCTAGGTTCTATTGCCTGCACTCATGACTGATCTCCTCTTCCCAAAGCTAGTTTAAGAGAGGTTTTCTTATTTACTGGTGGCCTTGGGGAGTACTCCTCAAAGCTATGCCCATTGTTAACTCTTCCCAGTGGACTTGCCCGGCGTAGCTATTGGCACAACAGAGGATTGAGGCTTGAACCCATGTTTTCTGATTCTGAGATCAGGGTACTGTCTCCTGTACCCCCTAGCCTATCAATAGTGGAAGCAGTAACAACAGCACAATGGGATATTCCAGGGGGCCAAGAGTAGTTCCTAGGAGAACTAGATAGGATCTTTGAATCTGAAAGCACTGGAGAAATCTGGAAACTATTCTTGAAATGCTGATGGTTGCCACTGTGACCCTCAAGGGTAAATGGTAGAGGGAGATAGAAAATGAAGAAAGTGTGGAAATGGCAGGCTGGATAGAATCCTAGATAGAGGAGGGAAGAGAAAGAAATATTTGCCTGTAGGAATGGAATGAGGAACAAGGATTTAAGGGAGGGGTGAAAATAATGGTACGTGGGCAGAAGATGAGAAGCTTAGACAAATGATATTTATTCAGTGTAGAAGCTTCTACATTAAAGTTTAAGGTCTATGTGTGAGTTCAATGTGTGAGTAAGTCTGGGGGCAGCAGCAGATAATGATTCCTATGAGATTTTAAATCTATTTGAGAAAGAGATTATGTGTGGAGGTAGGAATAGAGTGCCAGGCCTGGAGTCAGGAAGACTCATCTTTGTAAGTTTAAATCTGGCCTCTGACACTTCCTAGCTGTGTGACTTTGGGCAAATCACTAAACCTTGTTTGCCTCAGTTTCTTCATCTGTAAAATAAACTGAAGAAGGAAATGGCAAACCACTCCTTCAGCCATGTGTCAACTCATTGGTTGTTTGTTTTGCAGTCTAGTTACTGACAATTAAAATGACAGGCAATCTAAGAGCCATGTCACCCTCTGTCCTCCTCTCAACACAATTTTGCCATCTCTTCCTCAGAAGCCAAATGGGGCCCACAAAGGATTAAGGGACATTTGGAATTCCTGTACATTTGAGGGATCCCTTCAGGCACTAAAATTTCTGACCTGGTAAATAACTTTCTGGTGATGTCTCTTACCTGCTTAGCTAGGATATCATATTTCACCGAATAATCACTGAGACCACATAATCATCACACCCTGGGTGGGGCTTTTTTCCCACTCCAAAAATTGGCTTATAACCTTTCATCACATATTCATCACATGGTATAATTATGTTTGTCATGCCACTTAAAAGGTAAACAGAGCAGCAATGTATTCACCAGTGGTATAAGGATACACATTTATCTCTTGCACATTGTGAGCCACAAGCCTAGAATTCTCATGCATTGTCAATATTCAATTTTAATGTATATTCATGAATATTCTGTGCATCCTAATTTTGAACCAAAGACAATTTAGTAATAAATGATTTTTAAGTAATACCTGCACATGTTTTTAAGAAAAAGCTTCACATAATGGTTGCACCCCACTTTTTTGCAAAAAATTTGGCATAAAATCTGTAACAGTTATGCGGTGAAATACAGTAGTTGTTAGAGAACAGACACTGTCTGGTTTTCTGGACCCTATAACAACTTGTACTCTGTTGCTAGAGCTTTCAACAATAGCTAACATTTACATAGCACTTACTATGTTTCAGGCACTGTGCTAAGCGCTTTACAATTATCATTTCATTCGATCCTCAAGAACCCAGAATCACTTGCATGGCACAATAAGACATCAGGAGACTAGAAGGATTTTTGTAGAAGTTGATGTCTCAGGGGCAGCTAGGTGGCACAGTGTATAGAGCACTGACCCTGGAATCAGGAGGACCTGAGTTCAAATCCGATCTCAGACACATAACACTCACTAGCTGTGTGACCCTGGGCAAGTCACTTAACTCCGTTGACTAGCCCCCCCCAAAAAAAATAGAAGTTGATGTCTCTAGAGAAGGAGCTCTTCACCTTTTTTTAATGTGTGTATGTATCATGGACTCAAAACTGGGAAATTGGGTGAAGACTTTGGACCCCTTCTCAGAACAATGTGAGTTTTTAAAAATTCATAATTGAAGGAAATGCTAACATTAGAGCTTAGTGGAAATAAAGATTTTTTTTTTCTGTACAAGTTCAGGGATCCCCCTGAAATCTATCCCCAGATCCTTTGGTTAAAGTGTGTGTCTGAGAACCTCAGATTAAGCACCTCTGCTTTAGCACCTTATACATTACCAGTCCCTTGAAGCAGAAATGCCAGGTCTACAGTGTATTCTGTCACAAAGCAATACTAATATTTATTTGTTTCTTTTGTTAAAAAAAAATCACTTACATGTGTTCATAAGTCAGTTCAAGGCAAAGGAGAGAGGAAGGGAATATAGATTAAAATGTACAGCATGCAATCAAATCTTTTTTAATGTGAATTTTTTTTTCAAATGTATACTTGCTTATTCAGCTAGTCTACCAGTTTGAGTCACGTTACAGTCAACTTACAGATTACCTACATCTCTTGGTATTGGGAGCTATTCTCTGCTGCCCAGCTACCAATGCCCCATTCCCCTTAACCGGGAAATTTGAGACAGTCTTGCTCAAAGTAGCTGGATTGTTCATGGTTTTCCATTATCCATACCCACACTCCCCTTCATTGGCACAGATAATCAAGAATTGATCATATGCAAAATTGAGTTTAAAATATTACCTACTTGTAAAAAGAAAACAAGCATACCCAAAGATTCATTGGCAGTTGTAGTAAGATTATAGGTGGGACATTAAAAAATGTAGAAATTAACATGCTTCATCTCTGAATTTCTACGCAAAAAAAAATGATTCCTCGTTTACTTTTTTAATTTAAGCTTAGTATTTTGTTTAAACCTTAGTAAATAAATAGTTCACAATTGCAAAGCTGCATCTACACAGCCCGAATGCAGTGAGGTTAAGGCAGCTATCCAGGTAATTCAGGGTAAAACAATTTGTTATAGAATTACAAACCTGAAAACTAGAGTAGAGAACTGAGACAATCATCTGATAATTCAAGAAAGATAATATGCTCTTGCCATGATTATCTTCATTCTTCAGGCAAAAATGGTTTTGGCTTAAATTATCTAAAAGATTGTCTCAATTCTCTCTTTCACTGTATGGGGGCAAACACAGTGAATTAGGGAGGAAAACAAGACTATTTAATGCCTGCTTTATCCAGATCTGTTGTCAACTCTGATCCAATTCATTTTTTTAAAATGCTATGCATAAAATCATAGACTTTTAGAGCTGGAAAGGACTTCAGAACTCCTCTAATCCAATCCCTAATCCCTCATTTTAAAAATTGGTAAACTAATTAGGGTCCAGAGAGATCAGAGATTTGCCTATGTGCACAGTGTTACTCGGTGGCAGAGCTGAGACTACTGTTAAGGTTTTTTGCCTCTCAGGTCAGTGAGCTTTCCACTATAGCCTGTAGAAGGGTCAACCTTTTCCAAGTATTTGGCTTTAAAGATTTTTCACCTTCTCTGTTGTCTATTCAGAACTGGAAAAGGTGGGTAGTGTGATTCACTGCAGAGTCAGTGGGGCATAGTGGATGGAGGGCCAGCCTTGGACTTAGGAAGACCTTGGTTCCAGCCCTAGCCTGGCACATACTAGCTGTGTGACCATGAGCAAATCACTCAACTGCTCAGTGTGCCAGACAGCTCTCAAAAACTGTAAGCAACAGATGAGTTATTTGTCTGCACTGGTTGAGGGAGTTTCCATATTAGGAGTTCCATATGCCAATAAAATAATAGGTCCAGACCGAAAAACCCCAACAATAACAATGCAAGGCTCACTGACAGCCAATCACAGGGCTCCTCCCCACCCCATGCTCTGCTTTACCCTTCAAATAAATGTCCTAAAACAAAGCTGGAAGCAAAAGTTTCCCCCAAAAGAGTAGAAACAGATGTTGAGATGCTGGCTTCCACATCCATGCAGATTGGTTTGTACCTTACAAAAAACATTTGTCTGCCGTCTTGTAAACCCATGCTATAGGTATAAAGAGAGAGGCCACCTCCTCCCCAAAACATTCCTGATTTTGTAAAATTATCTAGGCAACGTTCTAGGGAATCTGCTTAAATCTAACAAGCTGAACAGATTTGGTCTGTCCAATTTCCCATCATTTGTTTCTACAATATGACTGCACAGCAAAGATCTGGAAATATTGATTCTGCAGAGCATAGTGTTGCCTTAACCAACAGCAAATGGGAAAGACTGACCCCTTCACTCACTTTTGCGGACGTGGCCTGTGTTAAGTATCTAATTAATTTTAAATATTGGTTTTTAAAGTGCTCCTAAAAGCAAAAAAGAAATTAAAGTCAGTAACTATTAAGCAAATGGCATTCTTTTTTTTTCTCAGCAAGACAAAATGTTTTGTTTTGGCAAATGGTTTTACATGACTAGAATGCAAAAACACTTAAAACCTCTCCAACAAAATGAAAATGTCCCAATTATCTCGAGTCAAAAGGCACATACAAGTGTCTCAGCAGTTCATTCAAGTTATCTTTTGCATGTGGTGGTTTAACTGTGCTTTCAGCTTGTTATCCATGCAGTGTGACCTTAAAAGTGACATCTGTGCATGCTTAATTTCCTTTCCCATATGAGCAAATTGTCTTCTCTCCTTCTGATTTTTTTTTTCATTTTCTGAAGGTTAAACTTCATGCTTCAGAGAAGGACACCTCTTCCATACTGGCTTTTGGAAGGTGTGGTTGACAGAGCTCTCTTCTATTTAGAAAACAAAGTTTGAGATTATTTAATCCATCTTCCTACCACAGTTTGACATTCCTTTGCATTTCAGGGTCATGGAGTTCCAATGCTGTCATTTGTAGGGCTGAAAGTGGCCTTTTTGATTCTCTTTTCTCACTGGCTGTCTAAGGCTTACTTCACTTCCAGAAGAGATGATCGGCAAACTATTCTCCATGTGGTAGCGAATGAGGTGACCCACATTATCGAATACATGATCTTTGGTCCTCACCTTGTAAAGAAAGTACAAAGGGTCCTAGGTTAGTTTGTAATAACTCTCTTGAAAGGGGGAAAAAAGTAATAACTATTAAAAACTATACTAACTATATCAAAATTAATGATTAAAACCTTTCCCTAAAACACGTTTTGTTGCCCTGAGAGACAAAATCAGACATTTACAAACTTCATGGTGGGGGATGGTCAGGAGAGTTCCCCAATCCAACCTGACAAGTTTATGTATGGGTGGTGAGCCTTTGTTGGGACTTGGATTTTATTTCATCCACAGTGAAGTAAATGAGTGGTATAGGCTGCAATTGCTACCATTTGTGCTAGGCATTTAAAAGGGTGCCTTCAAAGCAGAGGTCTTACATCTACTCTTTATGTTTCTGGTCTCCAACTCATGCTCAGTTGTTTCTCTATCTCTTCAGAATGAGAAACTGATCTTCACCTATTAACTGATTCATGGTACAGAACCTTTATTGCTGATTAGTAGTCCTTCAACTTTACCTTTATGAACTCTGTCTCATTCCCCAATAGAGACTGTTCTAAATCTCTCCTCACCTCTTAGCCTCAACCCTACCTCCTTCCTCCACACTTAGATTCCCCAGAGGTCATCTGACATGAAACTCCCTCAGCTTCTCTTTACCATTCCTCATAACTTCTCAGCATCATCACTCCACTGCTCACTAACCCCATTCTCTATACTCTTGATTCTTTTCCCTCTCTCCTCCTTGAAGACTTTGCTCCAGACACTATCTCTTCTCCTAGCATCTTCAATTTCTCCTTCTCCACCAGATCTCTCCCATCTACTTACAAATAACACTCATATTTCCCTGGTCTTAAAAAAAAGTTTCATTGACCTGTATATGCCATTCAGCTATCATCTCACCTCTCTTGTCTCCTTTATTGCTAAACATTGTGCAAAAGCTATCTATACCTGATGCTGCCAATTTTCCCACTACATACTCTCTATTTGTTCCCTTATGATCAAATTTCTCAAAAAGGATCCATGGATTCCTAATTCCTAAATTCCATGGCCTTTTCCCAGTTTTCATCCCCCTGGCTCTCTCTGCACTTCAGATTTCTTCTGGTTATAACTTTTGCCCTCTTTCCACTACTGCTTCCTACTGATGCTTTCTTTGTTACCTTGGCCTCAGAAACACACTTTCCTGGTTCTCCTACTTCTTTAACCATTGTCTCACTTCCTTATCATCATCTTCCTAAACTCTTATAGTGGGTTTCTTCAAAGATCTGTCATTGTCTCCCTTCTCTCTTGTCCTTGCTTCTCCTCCCTCCTCCCCTCCACTCTCCTCTCTCTTATCCTCTCCTTTACTCTCCTCTCTATCTTATCCTCTTTTCACCCCTCTTCTCCCCTTTCTTCTCCTTTATCTTCTCCTCTTCTTATCTCCTCTCCCCTCTTCTCCTCTGCTCTCCTTTTCTCTTCTCTTCCCTCTTCTTCCCTCTCCTCAACCCTCCTCACCGCATTCTCCTCTTCTCTCCTCTCTCTTGTCCTCTCTTCTTCCCTCTCCTCTATCTTATCCTCTCCTCCCTTCCCCTCCCCTCCTGTTTGAGGGCAGGTCCTGTGTGTTGTCTGCCTTGTATATAGTAAGCTCTTTATAAATGGTTATTGTTGGGTATTTGTTTTTCTTGTTGAGAATAAGACTATAACAGGCAGCCAGAGAGAGGAAGAGAGTTTACCTCCCCTCCACAATTCAGGCAAATGAATTGTTTTATTTCTCATCCCAAGTCCTAAGAATTGAAAGACTTACTGAACTTCTTCAAAAAATGAACAAAAAGTGAACATGCATTCTGGAACTTCCTGAATTCTGAACCTTCAGACAGACTTTAATAGTACAATTTTGAGGGTGATGTCTGTAAAGAAAGGTTGGTTATACCTTGCCTTCAGGGTCCACCAGCAGAAGGTGTTTCACCTGACCTCCTTGTAAACCGCTCAACACATATTGACCAGGTGATGTTGCGCTTTCTCGAACTAAAAAATCCCCATCCTTAATTAAGAGGCTTTCTGCTGCTTTCCGGCTTAGTTTTCCATGGTAGCAGTCTTCATTCCTCAGTTGTCGTTTGATTTGGGGCAGGGCATACAGACCAGCTGTCCTGCTTGTGGCACTTGGTTGAACCGTTTCTGGTACTTCTGAAAATGAAAACAAAACACAAGGGCAAAACATCCATGCTATTTCTCCCTATTCAACAAGTGTTTAGTTGGTGCTTACTATGTGCAAGTTTAGAGGCAGTGTGGAGAGGGAGCCAGGGCCAAAGTCCTGCCTTTGATACATAGCGACTACATGACCCTGGGCAAAGCCCTCACCTCTCAGTGTTCAAGGCCAATGATGTCAAACTCAAATAGAAACAAGCCACTAAATGGCACAGAAGGATCCCTGCTGGCTACATATTGACTTAGAAAACTACCTGTTAATATTATCTCTGTTTTATTGTATTTTTATTTATTTTTGCTTTTACTAACTTTTTTTTAATTCTATTTATTACATTTTTCCCAAATACATTTAAATTTGGTTTGGAGGACCCATCATAGCTGTGTAATTGCCACCTCTGCTCTAGGCCACTCTCTCTGAGTTACTGATGTGCCCTGGTAGAAGGAATTTCCTTACTAGGGAGACTCCCTATTCCAATGAAATCACAGATCCAGTCCCTATCATCCTGGTTGCAAGGGGGACAAACACAAAAACAGAACAATTTCTGCATTCAAGGAGCTCACATTTTTCTAAGGGATATAGCATTTTCATAGAAAAGTAAATGAAAGATAATCATTTTTTAAAGTACTGACTTAATTTTTTTCTTTTGTATTGTTAACAAATGCAAACATCTTATTTCACAAAAGAGAGCAAGAGGCTTATATAAAGAATTGTGAACTGTTATATACAATCTTTTTTTCTTAAAGCAATCATATATGGCTAGGTGGCACAGTGGATGCACCGGCCCTGAAGTCAGGAGGACCTGAATTCAAATCCAGCCTCAGACCAAACATATAACACTTAGCTGTGTGACCCTGGGCAAGTCACTTAACCCCAATTGCCCCCCCCAAAAAAAACCAAAACAAAACAAAAAATAAATCATATATGATCTGTGTGGAAGGGAAAGGAAAAAAAAGAAGAAAATAAATTTACATGATAACATATATTTAAAAGGAATAGCAAGTTGTACATAATAGATTCACAGTTTCATGTGCAATCATATATTTTGTTATGCTATGTTACAGAAAAATGCTTGTTTTATTCAATAAATTAAAAATAAAATTTAAAAAAGAAATACATATGTGTGTATATATATTATATGCATATATAAAATTTAACAAGATAGTTACAAAACTGCTCTAATTGTTTGCAACACCTGTACTTTTTTTTATTATACTCTTGTGTGTATTTTTTAAAAATAAAGTATTATAAGGACCAAATGAAATTGTTTAAGCAGAAGCTCCTAAAAATTCCACAGTCTCTGAAGCATGGCTGTGGAATGGGAAAAGCACTGGAATTAGACTCAGAGGATCTGGGTTTAGATACTGGTTGTGCCATTTACTCTCTTGGCCTCAGTTTCTTCGTGAGTAAAATGAGGGAATTGTTCTAGATTATAGGTGTCAAACTCACTGGCCAAATGGGACTGCAGCCCAAATCATGTTAAAAGGCAACTGGAAAATGTTTAACAAAATAAATTAAAATGCAATACAACATCATTAATGTTAATTTGTGGGTTTCTAAGTTAATATGCCTCCAGTAGGGATCCTCTTCTATTTAAGTTTGATAACCCTGGCCTAGAGATCCTCTAAGGTCTCTTCTAGTTTTTGATCCCATGAGCCTATGAATATAGCCATACTAAGCCATCTTTGGCTTCTGTTATTGGAAAATCCTCACTCAGATGTGTGGGTGGTCCCTTCCAAAAGGAAAAGGGAGAAAGGCCAGATCCACAAGAATGGCCTATGTGACCAGAAAGAGAGGAGCTTTCAGGTCAGTTTCAATGCCCTGCTGGAATATTTTTTTTTTTAAAAAGTTCTCATGCCTTTTCCCATATGTTTTAACACTTCACATCATCTTTGATTGAATCAATATACTACTTCTACAGAACCTTTCAATCCACTATCAATCATCAATGAAGCTTTTCTGAAGTTCAAGGCACCATGCTAGGGTGGGGTGAGATTGGGGCAGATAAAAAAAAAGACAAAACAAAAATTAGTCTCTGCTCTTAAGTTGCTTATATTTATATGAGGGGTGGGGTGGGGTGGGGTGATAACATGGAATTTGGTTATATATGTGTGTGTGTGTGTGTGTGTGTGTGTGTACACACACACACGCATATACATACATATATGTGTATGTATGTATGAATGTTTGTATATATGTATATGACAATTTGAGTAATGCAAGGGCACTAACAATTGGGAGAACAAGGTCTTCTAGAAGGAAATAGTAGCTCAGCTGACTCTTGATGAAGATAAGGATTCTGAGAGGTAGATATGATGAGGGAATGCATTTAGACTTGGAGACAGCTAGCAAAAAAGCATAGAAGAAAGAGGTGGAATAATAAGTTCAAGGAATTGTTAAATAAGTCAGTTTGGCTAGAGAAGGTAAAGTATATGAGGGGGAGCCCTGGGGAACAGACTCTTAGAATGACAGCCCTTTAAATAGCTATTTTGAACATCATGCATCCACCACCAGGATAACCATCTGAGACCTCATCAACATAGAGATTGCTTCAGCTTTTGGTACTCAGCACCTCCTCAGCACCTTCCCTCTTCCCTTTGATTGCAGAACTGGAGGAAAGAGCAAAAAACTCCCCTCAAAGCCTCCCTTTATAGAGGGCTCAGAATTTCCAACCAGCTTTTCATTTCCTACTAGCTGCTCTGCTTCGTTTCAACTCCTTGAACATATCTCCTCCCTCCTGGCACTTTGAACTCCTTTTTGTGCATTGTCTTCCTTTATTAGACTGTAAGCTCTTTGAGGACAAGGATTTTTCTTTTTCTTATTTGTCTCCCCAGTGCTTAGTGCAATGCCTGGCACGTAGCAGGTGCTTAATAAATGTTTACTGACTATCATAGCTATCATTTCTTCCCCCCTTCCAATCTTCTCTTCTCCAAGCTAAATATTCCTACTTCCTTTCATTGATCTTCCTTCGTATGCCATCCTTCTCAATTCTAATTGCCAATCTTTAGTCCTTCTTTATCCTATCAGGGTCCCAAAATGTGATTTGCAAAACAGAACATAATGCTCCAGATGTTGTCTGACCAGGGCAGAGCAGGCTGATTATTACCTCTATACCTACTTCTAGGAATAAGAAGGTAGCTCATTCATGCCCTCTCTCTTTCTAGTGCCATAGATTCCTTAGCTCTAGGCAGCAAAGTTTGTTCAGACCTCAAATAGCTTGTCCACAGCCCTTTAGGAGTAAAAGCCTGCCAGGGGCTGCAACCCAAAAGTACCAGTGCTACAAAGCTCTCAACTACAGGTGCTGGAAAAAGTAGGATCTGAATTGCTGGTGCTGAGAAAAATAGGCTCAACTACTGGGACTGGGAAAAGCAGACTGAACTTCTAGGGTTGGGCCAGAGAACCAAGGATTAGAGTAAATGGGACAGGTCACCAGTGACACAGGACACAGTGAGTGTGGGGAATGGTGCAGCACTCCACCAAGCCTTAGGGAAGAGCACAGCATCCAGTTGGGGCAGAGACCTAAGCTGGTGAACTGTGAATTCGTAAGTATGGAAGGAGACTGAGATGCTTTGAGATCTAGCCTCCATGGAACCTGCAATCACAGGGGAGTAAGAAAGAGTAATAAGACAAATAAAGGAAGAAAAAAAAACTGAATGTACCAAAGATCTCAGGTAGAAAAAAAAATGTCAAAGACTTTGAACATAAACAGACAGTAATCAAGCTCTGGAACAAAATCAACAGGAAAAACAGTAACAAAAGAAGGATAGGTGGCCTCCAGATCTAATAATGAGTTCAGGCATCTACGAATAAATACTGAAAAATGAAGGAAAATGATCCAACATTTGATGAGACAGGGGATTCTGTGGAATTTGAGGACAACATAGAACCACAACATACTGTTCCTTAGTGGTTTAAAAGAGAAATGAGAATTATGAAATTGAATTTTTGTCCTGCACAGAAAAAATAATGAACAGGACAGAATCTACAATGGCAAGCCTCACCAAAGAAACAAAGAGAGAACAATAGATTGGCAATGTAAAAACAGAAGTGAAAGACAACCTAGAAGAAGAGGAGCAAAAAAACAAGAACACTCAAAGAAAATATACTCACTATACAAGCAAAACATAAGGATCTCAAATATAGGATGTATAGAGATAACCTAAGAATCATAAATCTCCCAGAAGAACATGACAAGACAAAAACCATTAACACCTTAATGAAGGAAATAATAGAAGAGAACTATCTAGAACTTCCAAACATAGAAAATGAAATTCCAATGGAAAGAATTCACAGATCACCTCCAGAAGGAAGAGAAAAAAAAAACCAACACTGCAAACTCCAAGACACATAGCAGTTAAATATGACAATTCAATTCAGAAACAACAAATTCTGAAAACTATCAGGAGAAAGATGTTCAGAGTTAAAGGAAAGGAGATCCGAATAACACAGACTGTTTGCTACAAATCTCTCTAATGACCTGAGAGGGTGATTCACCCATTGGCACACAGCTAGTAAATTCCCAAGGTGAGATTTGAATTTGGTTTTCCATTCTATCCACTATACTTTTAGTTCACTGTGCTCTATCTTCAACAAAAGTATATGGTATAAAAAAGCTTTTTTAAATTCCAGATTTTACTCTATGAATGGGGGGGGGGTGGGAAGGGAATAGGCATTTATTAAGTAGCTAGTATGTGTCAGGTACTGTGCTAATATTATTTCACTTGATCCTTACAACAGTCCTGGGAGGTCAATACAATTGTGATCCCCATTTTACAGTTGAGGAAACTGAGACAGAGGTTAAGTGACTTGCCCGGGGTCACACAGCTATTAAGTGTCTAGAACCATCTTTGAGCTTAGATTTTCTTAACTGGAGGCCCAGAACTCTATCCACTGAACCACCTAGCCACCTCTATGAAGAGTACTCAATTTAAAACCCAGTATATTTTCAAATTTTCCCCTCCCCCAATCCTAAATTGACCATACAGGAAATGTAATTTTTGCACACATTTCAAATGAAGTAGAGAGAAAGTTCCCTTTATTAGAATGTGGAAAATGTGTCGAGTTACTTACTTGCACAGTGTAACGGGCTCCCAAGTACTTGAGCCGGGTCTTGAATTCCAGAAGGGCAGACTGCTGTCTGAAAAGCCTGAGTGTTGATGTAGCAGGGATCGTCGAAGAGATCCACTCTGCACTTATGTTTCATTAGTGATGGATCCCGTTGAGTCTTCACCACTCTTTCACTGATACTACCTAGAGGGATGGTATCTTGCTTGTATTATGTAAACTTTTTAATGAATCATAGCACATACAAATCTAGAATCAAGCTCCGCACTTGAATCTTCTAAATTTCCATAATCTTGGCTTCCAAGATCTTAAAGTCAAGAGCCATTTTCACCTCAAACTTTCTGTTTATTTTGTGTAATCTACAGCTCAGAACCAAAACTCTGGATTTATACAGCCTGGGTTCAACCTCGAGGGCTTCCCAAGAATTATACTCTCTTTTGGCTTGTGTCCCCACCCATTATTTCCCTTGGGAACATCAGCATTTGGCTCATTCCCCCACCCACCCACCCAGGGTTTTCCCCTGGGAATATAAGAATTTGGCCCATATCTGGGTCTACACAAAAATAAAAATAATGGAAACTGGCCCACACCTCTCATGAAAGCACTTGGGCAAACAAAACATCAAATGTAGGACAGAGTTTATTTATTCTGACAAAACCCACAAAGGACTTACATTCATAAACAGTAAAGACAACTCTCTTTCTGTCACTGATGAGTTTCTCCCTCCCAAACATCAATGCAGTCTTCCACACATGATGTTATTCCAAGGAGAAAACTTTGGTGTTGTAAGAAAGTCATGAGTCCCATTGGTGGGACTCCATACTCCCCAGGGGATCTATACAGTTGCCTTAGCTTGTCTGCCCTGAGTTGAGGGGAAAGTACTGGGAATTATTAGAGATTTGACTGCCTTTTCTAGACCTGAATAGTCCACATGCCTCACGGAACCAATGAAAAGTTTGATCCAAGTTTGCCCTTCTACATCATGTCTCTGGCACTTACTATTCTTCAGTTCTGTCTCCTGCTTGGTCGAGAAATTTCTCTACTTTGTCTAAGAGATGCTTTGTTATTCTACCATTATCACCAGCTCAAATTCCTGTAGTTCCCATCTTGTTCCAACAACTCTCCATCACTGCCTCTATCTACTGCCATCTCTGGGGTCACATAGATCCCTGAAGTGCAAGGTTCTCTGATATACCTGGGGAAATGGTCTCCTATTTCACACCCTTCCCTGGGGGGAATACTAAAAAAGGGCCTGGGTAGCTGCTCAGGCTCCTGTTCAGCAAAGTGTCCATCTCTTAACTCTTGTACTTGTACCTCTAGTTTCCCAGTTTCCAGTAAAAAGTCAAGCCCCAAGATTATAACTCAAATGTCAGAATTAGTTGGTAATCATGAGTTATCATCCACATTCAGGATCAAGAGGGGAATATATATACATATATATATATGTGTGTGTGTGTGTGTGTGTGTGTGTGTGTGTGTGTGTGTATGTCCAAGATAATATCTATCTAATATTTATATAATCCAGGATCCAAATGAGTTCATATCTTGTCAGAGAACTAATCTTGTAAAAGGAAATTCTCTCTTGTAAGGGGAAACATCATCAATGCCAGAATAAAAGGCCTCATTTAAGTGGGGAAGCAAGTACCTAAGACAATGCCTACCACATTTGTTTTCACTATAATTAGCTGGTGTTCAAACAGTGGTTTTCAGTTGGGGCCTGGAATATATAAGTACAGTAAGTCCTGGCCTTTGGGTGGGGTCAACCTGTTTCCTTAGCCTCTTCCTCAGCTTCCTCCAACAGTCCACCTATTGCCCATGAAGAGAAAGTCTTACAGGGTGACCCATGGGCTAAGGGTGAGGCAGGCAAAAAACGTTTAGGGGGGGTAAAGAATAGGAAAGCAGTATCTGGAAATGACAGAATCTGGTGAACAACTAACTTCCAGTGACCGGCAAAATGGCAATGATCGAATTGAACTATTTCCCACTTAAAAGCTTCAGTAGTTCTTATGAGCCTGGTAAGAGGAGAAATGATGTCTTCTGTCTCTGCTACGAAATTCTGTTTTACCTACGATACTATACCAGTATCTTCTACCCCCTGCCAATGTGAAAATGCTTAGTTCTGTCAAAACAAACAAACAAACAATACTCTATGGAGAACATGTGCCTTTTAAAGGATATTAGCGGGGAATATATATTACAATGGTAATTTTATACTTAAATTTGTAACACATGTTTTCAGTACTATTCAATAATATTCATAGGCACAAATAAGGTCTTGACTTGTGATTTCAGTGATATAGAAAGCTCACTAATGAAGAAGCTTTCTCTTATCGAGGCAAGTAAGAAGCTGTTTGCAACTTAAGAGAGTCGCCTGGGAAACTGAGAACTTACTTAATTTGCCCAGGGTCATACAACCAGTGAACACATGTCTTTTGGCTCTGTGACTTAACCCTTTAACCAAGATGCCACACTGCCTAATTTATTCATTAGTACAAATGAATTAGAGAATGAATGAATATTTTCATGACATCAAATCATTTGCACTTATTTAATAAGCTCCTTGAGGGCAGGGTGCTTAGCACAGTGCCTGGCACACATAGTAGGTACTTAATAAATGTTAATTGATGGTGGGTTCTATTCTAAGAATTCCTGAATAAAATATTTACTCTTTTTGTTTATTGTTTTTTTTCCTAGTGTCAGCTAGAAACACTACACTAGAACCTAACCGTCATGTTGTCCTTTAAGATCTACTCCATATGATTGTTCCAAGGGTAAGACCAACTTTAGGTCTTCTTGTTCTTTAGCAACTAAATCCTTAGATGCAATTCAAGAAAGGCAAAAGTTAAAGTAAGTTTAACATTACAGAGAATATTATTGTGTTAAAGGTCCTGCTTATGTCCCAGAGAAGTTGCTGCAGCCCTTTTTCCTTTCACCTGCAATAGTACCCTCCATACCAGACCTCCAAAGACCGTGTACCCCCCATCTCCTGGAGGAGCTACTCAACTTTGGAACTCACCTTGGGGAGTGAGTACAAACTCATCTAACCCTCTATATCTAGACAGCTCCATATCATTTGTCGTATCTCATCTACTCATCTACCAGGAAAGCCAGGCCATACCCAAACATCTTGTCATCTCCCATCCTACTACACACATACCATGCCCCACCATTCCTCATGTTCTACCTCTTGCCCTGGAAACAATAAATAAATGAATATGACCACTGCATGTGGAAAAGGCATGACAAGCAGCTGCTGAATAACTTCACTCACCATCATTGTGACTCCTCAAATCAAAACTCCCTTCCCTGGCCACCCAGTGGCCTATGTATACCATCTCTCCTTATTAGAACTTAAGTGCCTTGAGGACAGGCATTGTCTCACTTTGGTTTTTCTAGACATAGTGCCTGGCATATAGTATGTGCATGATAAAGGCTCTTTAAAAATTCATTCAGAATACTGGAAACTTGCTCTTTTAAATGTCAAAGAAATATAATATGCAGTATTATATAGTGAGAACAACATTGGACAGGAGTCCAAATTCTAATCCTGGATTTTTGTTTTCTAGCTTTATGACCTTGAGCAAGATATTTAGCCTCTCTTAGCCTCAGTTTCCTCACTTGTAAAGTAGTAATAATATTTATAATAATTAGCTCATAGGACAACTGTGAGGACCAGCACTGCTCTATATGCCTCGATGTTTCATGAAATCCTTAAACTTGCTATCTAATTGCACTTTTTACAAGTTAAAGTTTTCTGTTTAGGAAAAAAAATTCATTTCCTAGGTTTTAATAAGATTTGGAGCTGGAAGGATCCATAGAGATCATCTACCTAATTTCATATGTGAGGAAAAACTCAGGTCCAGAGAGAAGGGACTGGCCCATTGCCTTCCAGCTAATAAGTGTTGGAGGCTAGATTTGAAGCTGGATCTTCAGAGTCAGAACTGAAAGAGACTCTAAGTCTATCTAGTCAAAATTCCTTGTTTTACATGTGAGGCTCAGTTCCCAGAAGAGTTAAGCAATTTGACCAAGGTCACACAGGTAGCAAAAAAAAAAAATCTCATACATTTAGTCTCAAGGACTCTTAGAGGCAATCTAATGGAACCCCTTTGTTTTGCATGTAAGGGATTGAGGCCCAGAGAAGTTGTCACTTGACCACAGCTCCATAGGTGAATCATAAATGACAGAGCTAGGATTTAAACTCCAGTACCTGACTCCAAGGCCAGGACTCTCTGTTGGGCCAAGCTGCCTCCCCTCCTTCCTGCTTCCAAGTCTAACAGTCTTTCCACAAAACCGCACTGCCCTAGGAGAGCAATAAAAGTGGAGCCTGAGTAAAAGCTTTCCTCAGGCAGCCAGTTTCTTTATTGAATATAGAAATAATTAAATTCAATTATAATTATAATTACCATTTGGATTAATACAGTATTCCTTTAAAGAAATGGAGATTCTATGATCTGAAATGAATTGGCATTTTGAATTCAACCTAGGACTTTAAACTGCAGCCAAAATTTTCAGGCCATATAAATTATTTGGGCAATGATTATATTTTAAAAGAAATCCTGGTATTCCTCTCCCATCATTTTTTTTCCTTTATGAAATCTCTAATCTTTCGTTCTGTTCTTGAGTGTACTTATTTGTTATCAGGGAGGGTTTTGTGGGTGATGGGAGGTGGGGAGCAAGTCTCTGATGAAAGTCAGCAATGTAAAGAAATAAATGAGCATCAATAAAATATTTAAAAGGAAAAAAAAACATCAAATCCTGTCTTCTCCGCAGTCTTCCTTGACTAAGTAGAAGCAGGACATCATTTCCCATCTGACTCAGGCAAAATCAATCAAAGCATACTGAGCCTCTCCTATGAGCAGGAAACTGTGCTAGGCTATTGGCAATGCCATCACAGCCTCCAACTCCCACACCCACTCCAGGAAACTCCAAACTAAAAGAAAACGCTTGCTGTGTTCGTCTTGTTTGACTTCTTTAGGATGTCAGCTTCAGAAGGAGAGGACCAATATCTCACACATATTTTCACAGCTCTTAGCATGCTATGAATTGCTTAGCCATATATTTAAGGCCTGCAGCCATCTGGTTCCAGCCTACCTTTCCATCCATATTTTACATTATTCCCTGCCATGCAAACTATATTCCAGCCAGACTGAATTACTCATAATTTTCTGATCTCTTCCTGCCCCCTT